TTAAGTTTTGATAAAATATAAGAAGAATATATAAAGGGAAGTTAGACAACGAATCTGGAGGCATAGCGTCAAATAGCCAATTAAAAAAGGTTGGTCAATAAAACAAAACTTACCTTTTTGACATCTTAAGGCGGTATAATATCACCTTAGATTATATAAAGTATCTCTATGCTTCACAAATGCTTCGAGAAAAGCGAATCATCATACAATTTTACGTGATAAATTGTTTCCTTTATAACTTCTATATTTATTTCTTTTTATAATTTCCACATCTTTTTAATGCATAACCACTCATTTTACTTATTAAATAATACGTCAAGGTACATTTTATGCGTAAGTGTATAGAACACTGATAAAAAAAACTAGTCAGCAAATTTGACAATTAGCTGACAAAAAGTTGACACGTTTTTGAGACACAATGCTCTATCTATATAATCTAAGAATCTCACATACCTATGACAAGTGAGGCGCGTATGACATAAAGCCTGTTTGAAATTTCAATAATATTATGGTGTTGGTGTGACACGCGACAAAATGCCTTTTGCTTTCCAAAGCTGCGGTGAAAAGGCGATTATGGGAACACCGCATAACTTTCGCTACATTGTCGCTGCAAATCGATATAAGGAAAAATAACTATCATTAACAACAACCGCCGACCACCCACTTGCTCACTTGTTGGATAAGTTGAATATAATATACTATTCGTGTTTCAACCGTGAAGCAGTTGTGTTTGCATGGCTGTGTTTCGGTTTGAAGGATGGGATATGGCGTGAATTTACTGGGTACAGAGGAATAACACCTAAGTCCTTAGGACAGAGGTACCCAAGCAATCGACTTTTGTACAAAGTCTCCCTCTGGTAATTTACTTCTGGTACTTTTTAAGTTTCCCCATTATATATAAAATATGGTCATATGATCCCGGCATATAGAATAGGCTACCCCTTCCTTTCCTGTGGGGGTCGTAAGAGGCGACTAAGGGAAGGCGAGAGATGGGCAGCAGCGTTCCTCTTAAAACACCTCCTAAACCTAAATACAGTTGCTAATCCGCCTCAATCATCACCAGTTATCATCATAACAGCTTAAAGAGAGTCAGTAGATGCAGGTGGCTCAGGACCGTTTTATATGGCAGACTATGGGGGGGGGGGGGGGGGTTCTATGTTCAGCAGTTGACGGATAATGACTGAGATGATAATGATCAGTCTCCACTCCAATTAAGTGTATGTCCAATTTCATAAAGATTGCTCGAGCCGTCAAAGAGTCATGAGGTAACAGACAGACACACTTTCACATTTAATAATACGAGAAACGATTAACTATTAAAGAAAATTACCAGCTAATTATAAATCGTTACAATATCAAAATGATATGGATTTATTACTTATTGCCACTTAGTAGTGAACCTGTCAGCTGTATCCATAACGAGTAAACTTTCACAAAGAGCACAATACGCTCGCCCAATTAGTGAATGGGAGCAAGAAAGCACAACATATGATGTTAAATTACAAGCAAAAAACACTGTGTGGTACAAGTTAGGAGTGAGAAGCGAATCATTTTAAATATTTTATTTTAATAACATTATAATAATGATTTGCCCATTGTTTTCTCACTGTTTTATCTATAATAAGTTTACTATTGTAATGTTTTGAAGGAAACAATAAAGAGTATCTATATAAATAATATGTATACACCTTACTTCATGCTACTGTATTTCAGTTGAATTGTTTATATGTTATTGTTTATTTTTATATTTTTGGTGCAATAAAAAGTTAAATAAATAAATAATACACCAGTAATTTTACAATAATATAAATATCACGAATTAAGTTTGTGTCTTATTATAAACTAGTAGTAACTGGCAGATATGTTCGCGTAAATTGTTATAAGCAATATATTAAATACGTGGACTGTAGAGTACGCGTACAAAGCTGTAAGAAATTTGTTTATAAAGAGGTTTAATAATTGCATATTAACATTTTTTTTTTTTACAATTACTTTAACCTGTTTTTCCTTGACCATATTAAAAGAAATAGGGACAACAAAATCTTGCTTTTGTACCGTGATAATCTCCGATTTTTGCAACCCAAAGTACTGTTACAAGATTCTAAATTGCCAGTACTATTATCATGATAGATGCTTGCAGAATACGCTAATTGAGTTCTGTTTATCTACACATTATCTATACATTTTTATCTGCCTCTTAGGTAAGCAGAAAAAAACCACGTGCCTCCAACTGTAAGACCTCTATCCTACCATATATCTCTTGCTACATCCAATTTCATAACTCTCGACTCCACCCTCATATTGCACATGACTGTTACGATATACAGTAAAGTAAACGTAAACAATTCATATGTTTATAGCATTGCGTGAACATTTTTTTTTTCTACAACATAAATTCAATTTAATCTCTTATCGCTGGCGCTTATCAATCGCACCATACTCCAATTAATTCATATCACGAGCCTACAAAAACGTATGTATGTACACACATTCATTATTGCATTTATTTAATGTATTTTTTTTTTTTTTATTTTTCGTATTTTTGTTTTATTTTATTCATTCATAAACAATAATTTGTATTTGAATGTCATAGTAGGTACAATAAAATTCATACAATACCTACATGAAAATATAAATTAAATTTAACACAAAAACAAATATTACAGTCACATAGAGTCATCTCTTAACACAAACAACATATATATTTAAATTTAAGACAGTAAGAATTCGTCTATTGATTTTTTTTTTATACAACTTAGAATGGCAAACAAGCTGACGGCCCACCTGATGGAAAGTAGTAACCGTCGCCTATAAACTTGAGCAGTACCATGGACATAACAGAGTATACTGTTTCGCCCGTGATACCTACCATGCGTTACCATTCCTGAGGATTCAGGTGTTATTCCTGTGTACCCTGTAAATTCATTGTAATATCACACCCTTCAAACTGAAACACAGTCATGCAAACACAGCTGCAGCACAACAACAACTTAGAATGGCAAACAAGCTAACGGCCCACCTGATGGAAAGTAGTAACCGTCACCTATAGACATCATCATTGTCATCATATCAGCCTTTAACTGTTCACTGTTTAACATAAGTAGTTAAGTTAGGTAAGTAATCAGTAGTTTCTACGCATGGCAGGCGGATTGGCAACCGCAGTCGTGCTTTAGAGATGTTTTAAGAGGGACGCTGCTGCCTACACCTCGCTCTCCCTTAGTCGGCTCTTACGACACGCACGAGAAAGGAAGGGGTGGCCTATTATATGCCAGGATCATACGGCCAATCAAGCCCAAGTACAAGACATCACACGCTAGTAAATAATGTAAATTGCTGATGGTGATCATTGTAACGGATAAAGGCGTTTGCATAATGCCCTGGTAATGCGCTGTTGAACAAATAATCGTGCAAATGTAACCCTTCACGCGTGTAGGTGGCCAATTGCCTCACAATACCATGGTTGTGACATGCATATGATGTTTTTAATCATCTATAGATTATTTTTGACATAAAAATGAAATGGTAACCTTGCTTATATGTGGGGAGAAAAGATTGTTTGTAATAAGGATTAGTAGTTCCATTGCTAGCAATACACCCTTCCAGGTCGACCTTTTCGTGGTTCCCCCTGGAAACCATCGTGATTGATTTATAGTTAGATTAATAGTTAGATGGTGGGCTAACCGATCCGCTTCATCTTCACCTATTATACCTCACTGGTGCCCCAGCAGTTTATACCGATAGCGCAGGCAGAGTTACCATTCCATTATCATCCTTCATCTTCACCTATCATCCCTCACTGGTAACCCGTCAGTGTATACCGATAGCGCAGGCGGTGTTACCATTCCATTATCATTTATTAAAAAAAAGTCCTTGAACATCTTTTCTTGTACGTTCTATGTAACCGAGCCTATTCTGTTTGAACCAGTCACTGTACATCATCATCATTCATCACATGAACCGTTATATGTCTATTGCTGAACACAGGCCTCCCTCGTAGACTGCCGTAAGGAATGCTCCTGAGCTACCTTATAATCTAAGTTTATGTAAGTGTTATGGTTTTATTGAAATAAATTTTTATTCATTCATTCATTCATTCATCCACTGACTCCCTGCAATGCATTTTATTCAGATCAATCATTCTAAGTTGCATAAAAAAAAAACAAAGAACCAAAGTAACTGACATAACCCGAAGGATAAGCAAGCTAAAATAGCAATGGACTGGTCACATAACTCTAAAAACTAATTACTTATATGTAAAAGCCCAAACAAACGTTATAAAGTCTTTTTAAAAACCATACTGCATGTGTGCATTAACCACAAAACGACCACATTATATAAAATAACAATTACTTACCTAAGCAATGCAATATTGCATAAGATTTCATCAAAGTACAAATTAAACGTAACACCTACGTTAATTCACTCTTTGTTTCTGTAAGCCCATCAGATTTTATAGACAAAATTAATTGCCATAGAACCTGGTACTTTATTGCTGTTATATTTAAGCCTCTTAATATTATAAATCTTATACATTTTCAAACAACTTCAAAAAGAAGGAGGTTGTCAATTTGGTTGTATTTTTTTTATGTTTCACCTCATAACTCCGTTAATTCTTAACTGATTTGGAAAAGTCTTTTTTTATCTGAAGAATATACTTACAGTCGCATAGAAATTTTCAAAATCGGTTGTCTAGTTTAGTATTTTAATCAAAATAACTGGTTTTATCATAATTAAAGTCGATTTTCTTCTGTGGGGCAAAATCTTTAATTATGTCTAATACGAGTACTTATAAGTAGTAAGCAAATTTGTTTGAAATTTAGTACATATATTAGCCATATATACTTTTTGCAAATGCACGTGAGAAAAATTTTACAGTTGAACGGAGTTTCAAAGTATACATGTAGTTGTGTATCCCAATTGATCAATTGTGAACAATAACTTTGTTAACTAATAATATATATTTACTATAAATAATTTCAAATTTAACTTACTTGTTTCAGATGGCGCACCATATCGTGCACCAACTGGCCTGCTTCATACTACTGTTGGCAGTTACATCGTCACACAAGGAACAGACAAGATGGTCTCGACAAATCAGCTCCTACACATCAGATATCAGCGACTGGGTACCCCTTAATGGACCTGTACAGAGAGAACCGCCCCAGTCCAGACCTCCAGCGACTCCAATCAAGAGACAGGCTGTCGCTGAACCCAGGATCTTGACAGAGCCGTTCCCAGGATTTGCCAGACCAAATGGCTTTACCCAAGAAGCATTCCCATCGAGAACTTACTTCAACTCTCCAGCAAATAGGCAGTTATATTTGCAATCAGTTCCTTCTGCTCCCCAGAACTATTTAACCGATCAAGGCTTTGGCCAAGGTATCAGATTTGGTCTATCACAACCAAATTTTCCACTTAACCAAGGATTCGTCGCTCCTCAACTCAGTTTCGAAAACAGTCCTCCAGCACGAGCGCCCCCAAAACAACAGTTGCCGCCAAGTCAGGTTCAATTCCCAAAACCACCACCACCGATCCAACAATCAAAACCGTTTATCAATCAAGTACCAAAACCAACTGTGGAAACAACAAAATTTGTTGACGGATATCGTTTAGAAAATCAGTCTAATAGTAATTTTGGTTTTAATTCACAAAAAAAAGCACAATCACTACAAAAACTTAAATTAGAAGCGCCAAAAACAGAACAGATAGCAGCCAAAACAAACCCTGAAAGAGAGGAAGTGCAATTACTTTACGTACCACTGGAATCACTAAATAGAGGACAATTCAATTTCAGAAGTCCGGTTTCTTCTCCACAGATTATAAACTCTGACTTGTATTCTTTACCTAAACTGGACCCATTGCAACAAACTTTCGCAGCTGATTATCAAAGACCAGTAGCAAAACCGATTGATACCTTTATGTCCAGCAAAGATTACATCACTAACTACGATCTTTTCAAGAACTTTGACCAAGTACCAAAGTTCTCTACCGTTACTTCTCCATTCCCTACCTCTCCACCTACAACGCCTAAACCAAAAAAATTGAAACCGCATCAACCGCCACTAGCCATTTTCCAAGAAACAAAAAAGAATGCTAACATAAAAGTTGGAGATGTGTTAGCATCATTAAAAAATGCTAATACAATTGCCGTCTTGGATTCCGTCAATCCTCTGAATGCACCTAAAGTATTCATTGGACCATCATCACTAATACCACCTGAAAACTTCGTCAAATTTGAGTTACCATATTTATCTAACATAGAGAATTCAGATAAAAAACTTCGACAATTGCCATTTTTCGTCGCACCATTAAGTTACAATACCCCAAATGGTTTTGCAAAGATCCCATTCCCATCTCCACACGTGGGATCTGTGGTAATAAATTCTCTTATCAAAGATACGCCATCAACTATATATCCAACAAGTAAATTCCAGACAACGCCTCAACACCATACTACACCAACAGTGCTTTCAACTCCTACAGCTAAAATAATTCCAAATTCATACACAGTAGCCCCGCCCCATAAACACGAACGTAAACCCGATATATCTCTCAACCAAAATTACAATTACTATAGTACAGGAGCGCCTAAAACTAATGCTCCATCTAAGCCTGCAACCCAATCTACGTACTACTCCCTTGAACCTCAGACAATCACAGCTCTACCACCTTCGAGAGAAGCCACGTCTAATATTGGTAAAAAACAAAATACTGGTTATTTCTTGTCAAATGTTGGGGACCAATACAATTCTCCGCAATTTGTCAAATTCCCATCTCAAAACGATGACAAGAAACAAGACCGCACAAGATATTATACTCCTGTACCAAAATCAGAAACAACAACGTTAAAAACAACGACAACAGCCGCAACAACGAAACTTTCGACTCATTCAAGTCAATTACTAGAAACTCATAACCCTTATTCTATTAACCAAGCTTTCCACTTTAGTACCCCATTGGATTATCACAGTTACTTCGATGAATTCAAGGAATCCTATGCTCCTCCGCCCGGGGTAAATCTTGAATTACCAAAGTCTTCAGAAGATCCAATCAGCTCAACTCCACGACAAATCATAACGACTAAATCTGAAGAAATTGTAACACAAAAATCGACACAACAAACATCACCAAATTACATACAAAATTATACTCCAGAAATTCACTACGAATCTGAAATACAAAATATAAGATATCCAGTGTACAGTTCTGATTTTACCACAAAAACTGGATCAACATCTGAGCCTCATCGAACTACCAATTCTGCTAACATAGATATTACTCAACAAATAAATCAAAACTCTCAGTCTCATTATTCTGAAAATGGCAATATTCAAGGTTATGAAAACATAACAGAAACTATCGTAAACAAGGTAACAGGACCCGCGGCAGACATAGATAATCACGGATATGAAAACAGCAAATATGAAAATGGATATGAATCTGAGGAAATCGCACGTCCTAACCCTACTACTTCGTCGACAAGTACTACAACCACTACCACGACAAGTACTAGAAGAAGCCCAATTAGAACAAGAGGCCGACCAAGATATACAACTACCCCAAGAACCGAATCAAGCGAATCAATTACTAAATCTACTGTCACTCGTAGACCTCTAAGAGAAAGAAGACCCTTGCCGCCTAGATCTAGGTATGAGCCTAATAAAATTTCAAATGATAAGACTACTCGAAAGCCTACGGATTCTAATGAAAGTACCACAAAGTCTTCTCGAACAAGATCACGAGGACGTATTCAATATAAACCCTCTGGGAACGATGAAATATATGAGAAGAAGAACAAGTTACAAAACAGTAAAGAAACTGATCTTGCTTACCAAAGAGATATTCTTCACCAGAATTATCCAGTTACATTAATGGAGAGAACAAGTACAGTAGATATAGAAGCTATTACTGAACCGTCCCCAAAAACTTACTATACGAAAACACTTGAAAGTGGACCAGATATATATGATACAGAAAATGCATATGCTCATCAATCACCTGCTGTAAGTCAATTAGATGAAATCAGTTACAAAGACGATGTACCCAATTATACTTCACGATCAGAATCTTCTCTAGAGTACCAGCAGTCTCGAAACAGCCTGGCACCAGTTCAACAAATAGCATCACATGAAGATTCTTTTGAAAAACAACAAGAAATATCAAGCCATATCATACCTGATCAAAAAGTTGAAAAACCAGAACTTATCGCTTATCCCACAGAATCAAGTTTCAGTGTCAGTACTGGACAACCTGAGTATTCAGTAAATCATGACGAATCCTCGGCTAAGCAAGAAGATACAACCACAAGTCAAGACATCGAAATTACCAAGCTTGGCAGTCAAGAAACTACTACTGAAAATGAGCCTGAAGAAAATATTGTTCAAACAACGCCATCATATAATAGAGTGCGAATACGTCCAGGAGTAATTAAGCAATATCATCAAGCGTCATCTACTGAAAGTACTAGATCAAAATCTGAAAGAAGGAAACCAGTCCACGCTATCACTTACAGACCAGCTTTTGATAGACGCAGAACTACAATGCGGATAGAAGAAATAGAAGCCGATTTAAAAACAAAACAAGTACATGCTCGTCCTGAGGTTCAAGATCATAGGCACCCAGTATACAAACCAGATACTTCTACGGAAACTTCGGCAAGTTCTTCAACACAAGAGTCTTTTATAAAACGTGGTCAATTCCGTCGTCGCCGTCCATCCTATTCGACTACATCTACTGAAGCTACCAGTACAAAAAAGATTTATGAAGTCAAAAATAGGTTTAGAGGACGTCGACCAACAGAAAAACCTACAGAAAAGCCAGACTCTCAAACAGAATCATCCCCAGCAACTGTTAGAAATACATACAGCAGTAGATACAGCCATAGACCCAGATTATCAGAAAGATACAATAAAAAACCTGAAAATGAACCTGAGGAAACAGAAGATCAGGACTCAAACTATTCCATTACCAGGCCAAAATATGTTGCACCAGAAACTGAACAATGGTCACCAAAAATTTCATCTGAATCTTTTAAGCCATACAATCCCAATGATATTTTAGACGAAGGAAAATTAGCAACTACTGAACGCAGATCTGACAAATTACAAGATAATATTGAATTAGATATTATAACAGCAAGGAACGATTATGATGATATCCTCATATCTGTGACACCTGCTACAAATAACAGACTCAATAAGAAGATACCTGATATCCCACCTACACTTGAAGCCCTTGTCGAACAAAGTAAAACAACAAAAAGTGAATCTGGCGATAATATGTCAACTTTTGAAACTATGTTAGAAGAAGTAATGAAAAGTTTAGAGGAACAAGATGAGGATGAATATACATCCAAAGTAACCAAACACAAAGGTGGTGAAATTGGCGAAATACCACCTGAAAGAATTATTGATTCTGGAGAAGATATTGCAACTAAACAAGTTACTGCAGTAGAAGGGGAAATTGCAACAGCGAAGCCCACAAACGATGAGAATATATCTGCTGGCGTCAAACAGGTATAGTGTTTTCATTTTAATTATTTTTGGTTCTTTTTTTCTATTTAGTCAAGTCTGTTGATTTAATTGAATCTGATAAAGTCACCTCACGTGAATAATAGAGATTAATACTCTATCTTACAATGTAATAAATAATTTTACTATATACATCAAATAACATATAATCATAATGTTATTTTTATATCGCTTTTAATAACAAAATATTCAATATAATTATAGTAATTAATATACATATATATTGTGTGATTTATATCTGTAGACAGTAATTGTAATAGATACTTAAAAGCGCAATAAAAGAATCGCTAGTAATAGTTCGCTCATAATACATTTTTGATAATATATAATATTCCTGTTATTATTTTCAGGACCAAGTTAAGAGTAAAAATCGTCGTCGGGGCTTCTGGAAGAAAGTTAAAGTTCGACCCAGCACAGAATCCATAGAAGTGGCTGAATCTCAGTACTACAGCAATACTGTTAATCGACTGGGACAGTCAGTAAAACTTTCTAATGCCGTACACGAGAAACCTAATATGTATGAGAAGCCTAAATATTCTGTCACTACTTACAAACCGAGCTTCCAATTTATAAAAGATATATTTTCAAGCAACGAGGAAAATCTTTCTGAAGCCGACGCACTTTCATATGTAGACATACCAAAAGTTAACAAAGAGGTACCAGAACTTGATGAAGAGATTGCAGATGAATCTAAAATTACTGAGATTTACACAACGAAGAAAACCACAACTGTGAAACCAACCAGTGTGGGAGATGAAGATTTAGGCACTGGTACCCCAGATCCTACTATTATGGACAACATGTATATCAGCACACCTACAGAACCAACAGTCAGTGAAAGTGTATTAGGTATACTTGACAAGTCCGAAGACTTCAGTTTCATGGATTATCTTTTCGGTACGACGTCGAGCGACACAAATAAAAAAATAAGAAATGAAACTGCGAAAGATGTGACAAATGTAACTAAACCAAAGGAAAATGTTGAGATAACAACAGAACAAACAAAAGCTAAAATATCCACTACAGAAACCTCATATATTCCTGATGAAATTACAACTGAAATGTTAGAAGAAGATAATGTAGATCACACTTTTGAAGATATCAAAAAGATTTCAAATGATAAGGATACAAAAGATGTTGAAACCACAACACAACAAGTAAAAACAGAAACATCTACTGTTTCAAGTTTTATGAATCCAGCAAACATTTTAAGCACATCAATGTCTACAGAGATATCACACGAAACGGAAATATGCTTTAGAGGCAAATGCATTAAAACTAGTAAAGATATTTTATAAAATATTAAACAGTTATTAATCAATGGTGCTAAAGACTTGTTCAAATTTTGTGACGAAAAACAATAGTGATTGTGTGAGACTTGTGTAGACCTCAAATGTTTTTGTATTGAATCTATTAATAGTTGAGTCATTGTTTTATTATAATCATCGAAATATTTATTAATATTTCTAAATGTATGACGTTTTGTGGTGAAATCTTGTAAATAGAAGAATCTCTTTACTTGGTTCCACCTTTTAATTTTTATTGTTAGTACGTAGTTCTAATTTTGTATTAACTTTTAGACTTGTGGCCACATCTAAAAGTTTCACGATGTATAATATAATTAATATATTACATGATATGTTTGTAATGTACCTCTAAGCCTTTTTATTTTTGTATAAATAGTTACTTCGACTGAAAATAATATAACAGTTACATTAGAATTAGTTCTCTGCTTAACTTTTACGTTATTTATTTATTTCTTTCAATATTTATAAACTAATGGGCATTTGCAAAGTACCATTTGTAAAGAACGATGTGAAACCCCACCCGAAACCTTCATTTAAAGCTATTATTCTCTATTTTGTTATTGAAATGGACATGAATAGTATGTTTTGTACTAAAATATTAAAAATGTAATTTGTATTAAACAAAATAAAGTATTCAATAATATGTTTATTCTTTTATTAAACACTTAAGCGAGGATATGAAATAATAAACTGGACTTATAAACAACTTGAAATAATTTTAAATTATAAATATAACAGGATTAATCAGTCCTAAATGGCAAATCACGAGGAGAACTACAGGCGTCACAGTGTAATTATTCTGTGATGTCTATGGTGCTGTTCATGTCAATAAGCGGTTCAGTCAAGTGGAATATTTACCAAAGTGGCCATTCAATTTAAAAAAAAAAATAGATTTTTCTAAATCACTGTTGAATATAAACCATCCTCATAGATTGTCATAAGGAATGGAGGCGTTTTTATAGTAGTTTATTATTGAAAGGAATTATCTAATAGTTGCCACGCTTGGCAGAATGGTTGGAAACCGCAATTTGACTTTTGATAAGCTTTTAAGAGGGGCACAGCTTCCCATTCCTTGAACATTAGGTCCCCTTAGTTGCCTCTTTTCTAGTTCCTATGCTGGGACCACACAATTCATAGATACTATTTAAAAATGCTTAAATTTTAATTTAGTTGAACAAAAAAAAATCCAAGGCGCTTCATACAAAATATTTCAATTATTACCTAATTTATTTGGAACCTTAAAAACACCTATAAAATACTTAACATGAGACTGAGTAACAAAAGGTTTATTATAAAATTCTTTCGAAATTTTGGAACAAAACAATATAGTAATTTAAAGTTACAAAATAAATGCTATTTCAAAATAAAAATGTATATAAAATATATATATTCTTTATTGCACTTGTAAATTACATTGTTAATGCATTTATAAATATTGTGAGCAAGGATGGACTTATCTCTGACAAAGATCTCTTCCAGTCAACCCAATGCAATTAGAAAGCATTTCATTAGCGGGCAGCTAAAATGCTACAACTAATAATATTCAGAATACGAATTACTATTAATACTAATTAATAGATAAACAAATACACATTTAAATGATATATTAATATATATAGTAAAATATTACATAAATACGTACACTATAAATACATATAATACCTACCTGCTTATATAATAAATGTTAAAATGAATAAATATACTACCTACGTTATAAATTTTGTATATTTTTTACTTTTATGGTAAGATTTATAAAGAATAATACGTTAGATTAAGATAAGGGGCCGTCTTCGGTAAGCACGAAACTAAATTGAATCCAAAATATAATATATATATATATATATATATATATATATATATATATATATATATATATATATATATATATATATATATATATATATATATATATATATATATATATATATATATATATATATATATGTTTATCGTAAAATGAAATTTTAAGCTTATATATATATATATAAGCTTAAAATTTCATTTTACGATAAACATCCACAGGCTTGATTTTTGACTCGGTCAAATTAGTAAAATGTATAGTAGTGTCATCTAACGGCCTAGTATTGCATTTTGCAGAAAACTAGTAGTTCATTTATCCAACGGAAGAGAGCGCTACAAATAACATTTTTATCATAAAGCCGAGGCCGATAGCATACTTTAAAAAAAATATGCTACTTCCATTCGTTTCAACGTTGCCAAATAAGATATTTTAAATTAAAATATTGACTAAATAGTTTTCAATATTGAAATTTTGTATAAATGCAGTTCTTAAAAAAAGGAATAGGTTTGGAAAAATTTGGGTATATTTTCTTTTTAGACAGTTTTCGTATTTATAAACCATATAGGCTGCTTGTGTGGCGACCGCATACGGATAAACGCAGTGTAGGACGATTCCCCACTAGATGAAGTGACGCCCTGAAATGCATTACAAGGAGTTAATGGGTGCAGGTGGTTCAGGACTGTTAAAGAACGTATAAAGATAATAGTCTATGGAGGAGGCTTATTTCCAGTAGTGAACAGATAATGGCTGAAATGATAATAATTATAGACTGCTATACAGTTATTTTACTGTATTTCATTGTATTTGTATATTGATAGAAATACAATAAAATATATTAATGAAGGTAGCACAACAGACAATTAGAGAGGGAACGTTAAAACGTAAGAAAAGCTTTTTTTGGTAATGTTGAAGAAAATCATACCCATTTAGGGAAAAAAAAAACATTAATATTCGGATAAAAATGAAAAATTACATATTACCCATTTTGATTTTATTAATATAATTAATTACCTAAATTCTACACTTCGAACTTTAATGAAGAGGATCACAGGTCTTGTATCCAGAGCCATAAAACGTACATTAAAAAATTTACTGTCATTTACATTTGTCACATTTTAAGGTTATAAGGTTAAAACATACCATTCGTTTATTTTGATAAATTTAAGAGGGAAACAAGATAAATATTAGTATCAACAATGGACATTGAAACAAAAATAAAAGAAGATATGAAAGCGCTTGGCTGTAATTCTGAACTGAAGATATCGCTAGCATTCCATTTATACATACATTTAGTTGACGAAAAACTTATGCATGACACCGAGTATTGTTATAATCAAGATATAGACACATTATACGTCGTTGCAAGACCTAATAAGAACGATAAACTTAATATCTACGTGCCTATTCCTACGTATGATGACATAAGTATAGATTTTATTAATAAAATGCAAGAAAATCTGTGCACAGTGGAGACCGGCCCTACAATTAACTTGGCGTTTGTAGAAGGCGATTCTACAACTGTTATTTACTCATTTACTAAAGGTCTAGTCAATCGACAACCCCCAGAAAAAGCTGCAGAAAATAGGGCAAAGGACGAAAGACGCACATTTATAAATAAGGAATTAAAAAATAAAAAAAAGAATATCATAGATAAAGCATTAAATGGTGGTATTGTTGACGATGACGATTGTTTAGTATTGGATTGAGTTATCAAGAGTTATGAACTTGGTTATAAATTGTCTATGTAAAATCTCACAATTTTATATCAAAAGATTTCCGAGATGTTCTAATCATCACAAAAACAACAAATTAAATAAATACAAATGAATTGAAAACCTTCTTAATGAACTCAGCTGAAAATATACTTCAACCAACATAAATACATATTGTAATAACAATTGACTGAAATAATATCATTTTGTAAAAAATATTGTGTGGGATTTTACTGTATCGTGAAAATATTATTTGTCAAAAAACTCAAGATGTTTGTAAAATTATCCTTAAAAATATCTAAAATTAAAGAAGTACTAATTGTGTAATGAGAAATGAAGAAATAGGAATATTGAGTTAATGATTAATTCAAATGATGATGGTAGACTTGATTCCTGCTGAATTGCATTCTAATATGTTTGGTGAAAGGAAGTCATGTTTAGTGTTACATTCACCACAATAGCAACAGTTGAAAAATGGTTTTGACTACTTCATTCAGTAATATAATCATATGTTTATTTACTTTTTATAACATTTTTTTTTTTTATAATGCTTAAAAATGTGTAAAATGCAATAGCACACTTGATGGAAAGTAACAACCTATTGTCTATATGCATAAACAATACAGAATGTTCTGTGATTTACAATAACCATTAGTGTCTAATAAGAACTGAGTGTATAATTTGATTTAATTCACTCTTTTATTTGTGCTGCTTTTTGATCTCTAAGTGATGGTACATCTTATGAAGAGCTATCTGATTATTTGATAATCCCAGGTTTAGAAATGGTATTGAACTCATAAGTCTTAGAAGAAATTATGCCTCACTATCCATGTATTACCTCTTGTACTAATTGTGTAAATGTATTGCCTGTGCTCGTGGAAAATGTTGAATTTGATGTCCACGGCCACTTTCTACCATCATACAGCTTACCATTGACAGAGAGTTCACCTCCATACCTTAGAACTTAGATAATTGCATACAGTGCGGTTTCAGAGATGTTTTCTTCTACAAATGCTCAGGTCATGGAATGAACTCACTGTTAAGGTTTTTCTAAGGAACAATGGCATGGGATTCTTTAAAAAAAGTTGTTAAGTTAAGAGGTCTCTTCAGCGATGGCAAAGTGCATGTATGCCCCTGGTATTGCCAGCGCTTATAAGCTATGGTAACCGCTTACCATCATGTGGGTTGTATGCTTGTTGGCCACCTCAATGGTATAAATTTTTTCTATATCAATGTATTCATTAAAATTGTTTAATGCTGTTATTTGATGTGGTACCAACCAGTATGTTTGTAATTGTCATAAAAAGTTGGTAATTATCAAATTTTCATAGAATTATTTTTAATTATATATATATATATATATATATATATATATATATATATATATATATATATATATATATATATATATATATATATATATATATATATATATATATATATATATATATATATATATATATATATATATATATATATATATATATATATATATATATATATATATATATATATATTAATTCACAAAAAATTAATGCGTATCTCACAGTTTACTTTGCAATCTCAAATATAATAAATAAGATAATTATATTATTTTTGTATGCTAACCATTTGTACTTACGTTACCCTTGAGATATATTTTCTAGATCTTTTTAAGCATGAATATAATTATCATTAATTCGTCACTTGTTTATTGCCAATAAATAAACAATGTCTTCTGAGAATAGCTTTAAAATTATTCTTTAAACAAACTAGTACTTCTAAAATACATTTAATAATTTACTTAGCTACTCAAATTTCTCTTTTTCTTTTATTCAATTTTCTTTAGTTTCTGATTTTATGTGTAGATTTTACAAATTGTATGACACTATCACATAGTTCATATTTTTAAACCCCTACACTAAGTTATGTTTATATATGAACCCAAATGTAAACATATTTATATATTTTTTTTTGTGATAGAACTAAACATGTATATGTAAATTATTTGTTATTTTCATAAACTTTTGTTCATCTACTTTGATCTCAATACCAGGAGTTCATAGATGTATAGTAGTGAAATCTTTTTAATATTTACAAAAGTAGGTACTCTGTAGGAGAAACTGTAAAATCGTATACAATGTATTGCAACATTGCATAGAAGAACAAGCAGTACGTACAGAGATAGAAAAACATTAATTTATGTGGAAGATGATGAAAGAAAATGTTGCATCGCTGATTATATAAAGGAAATATATAATTTTTATAACAACAAATGGTAGAAAGTTGATAAAAGTATTGTTTCATTTATTTTTCTTTAATTCTGTAACCCATCAGTCCCTTTATTTATTTCAAAAACCTTGGGGTCAATAATAAAAATAAAAAATATTCCTACCCAATTCATAATTCTGCATTTAATTTAATAAATAGGCAGATTGGTGAAGAATATCTTTTTTTTTTATATATTTTTAGACCACTCTAGTCTGCCCTTGATTATCTTGTATCTTACAATTAGTCAAATATTGTCTGAATCACACTATTCGGCTTAGGCAAATTTTTTTAATATTTCGAATATTTGATTTTAAATCAATATTTTGTATTAGATGGTTTTGTATAAGTGTGCATCAGTAATCGTTAGTAAAACCTTTATACAACTATATGAACAATATTAGGAATTAAAATTGTTAATATGAATTACATCTATATTGGCGTATAAAATGGTATTTAACGAATATCGACATTTGCAATAGGCAAAAGATAAAACAAATTCGTCATTTTAGTTCTCAAATCGCTCTGCAGAGGCAGCACTAATAATTGCATAATAATTACCTTTAGGTAATAAATAAAGATTAATATAAAATATTGTATAGTTTCTGACTAACGCAATCGAAAACTACTTGCGAAATACTGCAGATAATGATTTTCTTGTTTTTATGTTGAAAAATTGACACGACTCGTGACATTGACAGTCTACTATGTCATTTCTCTGAAATTAGATTTTTTTAAGAAAATTGACAACTTTTTAAATTCTATCTGAATTATCTAGTAGTTCTAGTTCTCACTTCAAATTGATTACTTATTTTTACATAGAATAGTGACCTAAATATATAACTGAGCAATTTATAAATCAACTAAGATAATATGTAAGTACCTATTAGACTGTAAATGTGAAATAATAATATAAATTCGTTTAATATCTAAAACAGCGAAATCTTTACTTGAAATCTTCATATGTAACTATACATACTTTCTTACTAAAGATTTAATGTAAATTATAATTGTTTCGTCGCTGGCCAAAATTCATAACGATTAAAAATTTAGTAGACAATTTGGATGGAACATTATAAATATTAAATAATGGGTGTAGGTACCTATCGAGGCTATTTAAGTAAGTAGTTCCATCTATTGCATAAACGGAAGAACTGAAGCTACTGAGTAAGCAAGTAACTACATAGTTTTGCTCTTTGTTGTTTCGTAATTTCTTTTTTTAAATTTTTATGTAAAAAATATTTCTGTAAAACTTTTTATACTATAATTCTAAACATCAACTATTATTTAGAGAAATTTATAAAGTATACTTCCATTTTATTAAGTGGCATGAATAGCTTTTAAATTTTATTACTTATAATAATCATTAGATGGTGTTAGTAGTAATAAATTACTTAGAAAATCATAATAAAGTTTTTTAAATTATAAATTTTTTGTGTTACAAAATATTTTATAAACCTCACTTATGTGTATCTACACAGCTAACTATTCGTTAAAATGGTTGTGTTGAGGCTATGTTAAGGAGAAAAGAGTTATATAATTTTTATTTATAGTTATATTTTTATGTATATATCCAAAAATCAAAAATTCATTAGATATTGTATATTTAAAATATCTCTTAAATATACTTGTTTATTATAATATACATATAATTATATACATAGAAAAGAATGCATGTATTCGATGTTTTTCGATTAATATTTATTTTTTTACGACAACTACATTCCAAAACTATTTAAAGATCATATACGTATTTACTGCTGTTATAAGTATTTCATAATTTCGCACTTCCATTGATATGTCAGGATGGCCGAGCGGTCTAAGGCGCCAGACTCAAGTGTACAAACTTGCCGTGTATAACGGATGGAAGCATTCTGGTCCTCAACAGAGGGCGTGGGTTCAAATCCCACTTCTGACAAATCTTTTTAAGTTAATTTTCCGAAATTTTATTTAAATAATTTATCCCATTTACTCGTCGAAAATATATGTAATAAATTATTATATCGTTATATAGCGATAGTTTTATTTTTTATTTTTTAGTATTTACATGGCTTATTTAATAAAGAGAAGTCATAAAAATATCGATAATAATAATTACCTTCTTTCTTATATATATATATATATATATATATATATATATATATATATATATATATATATATATATATATATATATATATATATATATATATATATATATATATATATATATATATATATATATATATATATATATAGTCTTCACGCGTCATTTTAATAATCAATTTCAATTAAAATTGGATTGTCAGTCCCAGCCTCATCATGTTGGGGGAATTGTTAGTTTGGGGAGGTTAGTCCCCATTGCTATCAATATACTCTATCAAGTCGACGTCCACGCGGTTTCCCCTGAAAACTGTCGTGACTAATTTATCATTGAATTCGTCATGATGGGCTAACTAACCTGCCTTTCATCCTTACCTATCACCTCTCACTGGTACCCCGCCAGTGTATATCGATAACGCAGGCGGAGTTATCATGCCATTTTCACCCATTAAAAGAAAGCCCCACCATGTTTGATTTTGTTGAATTTGAATAATTGCACGGGATTAGTTTTTTATATAATAGTGTATATACAATACACAGGAGTAATGTAATGTAAATAAATTAATACCCAAAATTTAAAAAAGTTTTCCCATACCGGGAATCGAACCCGAGCCTCCTGGGTGAAAGCCAGGTATCCTAGCCACTAGACCATATGGGATATGAATGTTGATCTGAATTTAAAATATAGATGGTACTAATATATTTGGAAGTAATTTATTAAATATCATTTCACCCTTAATACCATCTTCACGCTAAGTTTCTCACGAGATAAACAAAGAAAATCGGGTGCCAGGACCACTGGTCGATTCAATAACAGTACTTATTTGAATACAAATGCATACACGGAAGACTGATATTCAGGTTTATTCTTTAATTATTTATATAATATATGAAATTATATGATATATATCTCTATATAGTATGAAATTATATTTGTATTTATTTATAATAAGTATTCCTATTCATCGCACGCCATCTATTTTTTCTGTTTGTAACTATCTGCTTGTTATATCTAGATAATATATTGCTTTTAGCAATGTGTCGATGTCGCCTTTTCTAATATATGCTCTTTTAAAATGTTATATTTTTATTACTTTTAGTACGTAATAACGACTTTTATTATTATTATGAATTACATAATTTTTTTGAAGCATTTACATTTTTCTTTACATGCTCTAAGCGAGCTTCAACTAGTCAATGAATAAAAGCAAACGAAAGGAGAAGACATCACTTTAGTTACAAAATTGACAATAGATGTCACTGTTAAATTCATACTTGATTTCTACTTCGCGATATTAAGAATTTTTCTCTACGAATGACCTCCCTTGCTCGACACAACCAAATCATACTTACCTGGCGAAGGGGATACCGTGATCACGAAGGTGGTTCCTCCAGGGCGAGGCCCTTCCATTGCACTACGGTCGGGCTGACCCTTGCGATTAACCCAAATGCGGTTAACTCGGGCGTAATTTTTGGTAGTGGGGACTGCGTACGCGCTGTCCCCCCCATAAAAAACTCAATTATTTAATCATTCTCTCATAATCTTTTTATTATTAAAAAATTGAAGCTTTTATGTAGAATACAACCATAATATATACAGTACATGATCACTAGACTATTTTATGCATAATTATCGCAATATTCTGAATATGAATATATATAGAACTTTACCCATCAAATTAAATTACGAAAGAAAAAACATTCAATATTGTTATTTGAGTAATAGAGAAGTATTACATAAATTACCTAAGTGTTTTATTATTATTTATTTATTTATTCATTAGTGCAAATATGTGTACATGGCGGACTTAATGCACATGCACATGGACATGCTAAAAGCATTCTCTCCCAGTCAACCATAAGAAAGTGTCAGAATACTCGAATGCGGTACTACTAATTATTGATATACATACATACTAAAATTACATATATAAACGAATAAATATATATGAATAACAAATATACTCACACATATATGACATATACTATATTATATTTTAGAATTCTATAATAATGAAATGTAATGTATTTGGCTACTATTGCACCTAACCTATTTACCTCATTATATATTTTAATATATATTCTATGTTGCTACTTGCTGCCAAAACTTGTACAGAATAATAGCAAAGTAGATTGTTGGTAGAATTAGGTTGCATTGTTGGATCCAAATAAAAAGTTTCATGACTGTGATTAATCAACACAGTATCCACACTTTTAATTATCATTCATTCCTAATATGTTGTTATAATTAAATTAGTTCATTGTCAGGAGATTTAGATTAAAAAAAGCTCGCATACTTATATATATATATATATATATATGGTCGAGTTGCTAACATCAAGAGATAGTAAAATTCGTACTCAACTAAAGGCTCTGGTATCGCGCATTAATTTATTTTCTTTATTATATAGATGATGTGCAATATATATTATAATTAATTTAGATTAATATATAATTAATTTCACATTACTAATTGAAGTATTATCCTAAATAATTTATTTTCTTATACTGTTGCCAACAAATACTTTCAGATATTGTGCTTTATAATTGCTCAGAGTTGCTTAACTTAATTTTGTGCCTTGCTTATCGCTTCACCAAAAACCAACACAGATAAATCTGCATATGCTAGATTATTTATCAGTCGCTTTATTAGCTCAATATCAATTTGCTTTTATTTTTTTTATACCACTGAGGTGGCAAACAAGCATACGGCCCACCTGATGGTAAGTGGTTTATAAAATGTAATGATATTATTACTCGTTTGCGATGATGATTTATTTTTAGTTTTTGCTATTATTATTTTTAAAACTTATGTTAATTTTTTAACTATGTCTATATATATGTATAATGGGAATTTAATGAAATAAAAAGCATACTTTTTACTATTTTTTTTTTTATAATTACATTATTATAAGCTATTTAAATTGCTTTACCAATAGCTTATGTATAAATAGAATAATTATATTTTTTATTATTAGTTGTCTGCTTTTTCTCTCTTTTTTATAATTACATTATTACAAGCTATTTCAATTGCTTTATCAATAGCTTATGTATAAGTAAAATAATTATATTGCTTCAAAACAGCATTTTTTTTTAATGGGTGATAATTAGTATTGCTTAGCAGTGAGAGGTGATATTTTAGAGTCAGAATTAACAAATGGCTGTCTTTCGGTATCTGAATTATATTATTATAACATTCAATGTCCCATTCGTGTTTCAGATAAAAGAAATGGTGTGAATTTATTATTTTTTCTCATGGGCGAAACAGTATACTCTGAATGCTTTATAAGATTATTAGGTGGGCCGTCAGCTTGTTTGCCATTCTGTTTATAAGAAACAGTTGAAGATTCATTCGTATATATCTTTATAAATGTTTTTTTAAATCGTATATTATGGCTTTGAAATACTGTTATCTATTATATAGCTACGTTGATAATATATTGATTAACATGGTTATTAATAAACTACTGCGTGATCAACTGATGTACATTTGTTATTCAAGTAATTGTTTATTTATTTATTTTTATTTAAAACGACCAAAATAAAATAAGTAACATGACATTCTCTACCAGACACCTTTGGGAAAAATTGAATGCCCGCAGTACTTCATTATTGGGATAGGTAAAAAAAAGTTTAAATATATTTTATATAAGTCACTTAATATTTGCCCACTCAGATAAAAGAAATATTATTTTTTTTTATGACATTTAAATCATATATACTAAATGTTTCTTCCTATATAGATACGTTGATAATATTTTTCATATATTATTGGACCAAAAAAATAACAAATATAGCTATTTCATACTTTTGTTTATGTTTAGAAATGTTCATTATTATCTATAAAATATAAATAAGTTTTATTAGCCAAAAATAATCGCAGATGGTAGGATTCGAACCTACGCTCCCAAAGGGAAACTGATTTCGAGTCAGTCGCCTTAACCACTCGGCCACATCTGCTTCTGACGAATTTGTCGAATTATCGCAATAGATTCTACATTATTAAAAATATATAATTTAAAAAAAAATAAGATAACAAATTAACAAAAAAGCAACAAAATACGGATATTACCACCCTTTAGCTTTTACATTATTATAAAATATAAATATGTTCCGCCGCTCTTTCATCTACAATTCTATTTTACCCCATTAAAGAGGTGAATACTAAAGTCCCTATTGCTAATAATATAATCTATCTGGTAGACCTCCTGAATATCGCTGCCATCGCAATAGGCCAACTGACTGGCTTTCATTTTTACCTATCATCCCTTCCTGAGAGAGTAAGCTGAGTCCAAATAGTAGAGTAGAGTAGGACCAAATGCCTCATTGCTGGCATTTTTTTAATGGGTGAAAATGAAATAGTGACCTCCCTTATGCTATTGGGACACACTGGCGGGACACCAGTGAATGATGATAGCTGAAGATAAGAGCAGGTCAGTTGGCAGAGGGAATCGCGTGAAGGTCGATCTGATAGGGTATAGTATTAACAAGGGGGCACTTAGAGTCCATTATAAACGTTCCGATTCGCCCCTCCATCATTAACATTACCCCACTTCTGGATATATGCTTTTACTTGTCTCGAACCTGAAGGCGTACCAATAAATGTTTTCCGAAATTACGAGATCGAACGAAAGATAAATTTGTTATTAAAATTACATGATACATACCGTTTAAAAATATTAAAAATATCGTTCCTTTGGATTTTTATGACAGGATTTATGACGAACGAAATGTTAAGCTTCATTTACTATGCCAATTTCTGTATGAACGAAAACTCGAAATTGGGTCCGATAATTCGGAATTTCTTTTTATTGTATGCTTCTTGCGTTTATTGCT